TTCAGACTGGCCTTGAACTTGATTTGAACTAACTAGTTGAACTATGGCCCAAACTGTGCCAGTCCCCTTGCGCCAGCCTCCCCAGTGCTGGATTACAAGCATCGCCACCACAGCTAGCTCTTTCCTCTCTTTTAAAATAAGAAAGATGTGGTTGAAGCACAAATTATAGTGTTGTCCCGTGCGGAAGGGATTCTGAGGTAATGCCACAGAGCGGGGCACAAGGCGCGCAGAGGGAGCTGGGCTCTCTTCACTTCCCTCAGACTGATCAAATGACGCCACCCAGCGACTGGGTGTCATGTGCTGCTGCAGCCTGGGTCCAAAGGCCCCCAGAGGCCGGCGTGGCGACAGCCTGGTCCCCAAGCGGTGGCACTATCAGGCAGGCTGCCCTCCAAGGGGACAGGCTGGCCTCCCCTCTGCCCTGCCCCATCACATTCTCCCCCGAGGTTTGGCCGCATCGCAGCCCAAAGCGATAGTGCCAGTGGAATAGGGCCTGCAGCTCCCAAGCCCGTGGGCCAAAGCGAACCTCCCTCTTTCCAAGTTCTCTCAGGTATCTTGTTACAGCAATGGAACGGTGACCAGCGTGCGTACCATGTGATGCCCTGAACAACAGCCCAAGCTATGGACAGTAAAGAGACACACTTTAACTACGTAAGCATCACACAGAAGTCCAAATGCAAATCTGGAAAAAGAGTCTGAGTAGCTCATAAGAAGGCAAGAAAAAGAAAATACACAAAAACCAGAGCAAATGAAACCAATAACGTCAGAGTTAAATCCTAACAAAATAATTATGAGTAACTAACTGGTCTATAAACAACAACTAATACAAAGATTGGTAGAACAGGTTTTAAAACATGACCCAACTATATGCTATGTGCAGAAAATGCACTTTCAATATAATGATACAGAGCCAGGCATGAGACTGCATGTCTATAATCCCGGGATTCGGGAGGCTGAGGCAGGAGGATCATTGCGAGTTCCAGACCAGCTTGAGCTACAAAGTGAGCTCAAGGCCAGCCTGAACTGCACAGTGAAACCCTGTCTATACATATCATCTAAACATTAACTAAAAGGAAAGCAGGATTTTAACATCAGATAATATCAGAGCGAAGAATATCATCAGAGACAGGGGCTGGAGAGATGGCTCAGTGGTCTAAAGCACCTACTTGGAACAAGCTTGGCAAAGCACAGGGACCGCGGTTCAATCCCCAGCACCACGTGCCAGCCAGCCCCGCCCCCTGGTGGGCTGAGCTGGCCACACACACACACACACACACATACACACACAATAAATGTTAAAATTAAAAAAAAAAATCATCAGAGACAAAGATATTATAGAATAAAAATAAGGCCACTACCAAGAATGCACTGATTCTAAATGTGTGTGGACCAAACAACAGAGCTGCAAAATGCGTTAGGCAGAACCTGCTAGGACAGCAAAGGCGGTGCACAGCAAAGGCGGTGCTCGGAGTTCCACGCTGCGGACATCAGCGTTGCTCCCCAGCAGCTGACAGAGCAGTAGACAGGAAGTAAGCAGCACTGCGAGTCAGCTTCGCAGGTCGGTTCCTGTCTGGAAGCAAGAGGGCCTGAGTTCGATTCCCAGCACCAGAAGAAAGGAAAAAGAAATCAGCAGCACTGCCAGCCCACGGGGTGAGCCCGCACTTCCACAACATTTGCGGGTGAGGGAGCACATTCTTTTCAAGCCCACAGCACATGCAGTAGAACATGCAGACCCCAGGCCAACATGGAAAAGAACTGAGATCATAGTGTGTGTTCACTGGCCACAGTGGAAACAAACTCACAGTCAATAATGGGAAGATAACAGGGCAATTCCAAGCTTGGAAACCGACACACTTCTAATAATTCATGGGTCAGGGAGGAGATGTGAAGACAAATGGAAGAAAATACACTGAATTGGCTGAAAAGGAAACACAACACCCAGCTTTGTATGACCCAGTTCAGGCAGTAAGCAAAAGGCAGTGGCTAGCACTAGGCTGCAGAGCAGAAGAGCCAGAACGCCGCAGATCCATGGTCTAAGTTTCCCCGCGAGACCCAGAAGCAGAAAGAAGCACAAAACAAACAGAAGGAGGGAAATAATTGACAAACAGCAGCAAAGTAACTCAGGCCTGAGGCGCACACCTGCCATCCCAGGAACTCTGGAAGCTGAAGCAGGATGACTGGAAGAGCAAGGGCAGCTCGGGCAAATTAGCAAGATCTCATCTCAAAGTAAAATAAAAACTGGTCTGGGGATATAGCTCAGCAGCAGAACACTTACTTGGCATGTGTTAGACGGGGAAAGGTGAAAACACACACACACACACACACACACACACACACACCAGCAAAATCAGAGAAAATTAATGAAACAAAAAAGCCAATTCTCTGGAAAGATAAATAGAATTGAAAAATCTCTAGGAAGAGAGACTGGGCGTGGTGGCGTGCACCTGTAATCCAGCAGTTGGGAGGCTGAAAACAGGAGGATCATGAGTCTGATCTGTGTAGTGAGATTCTGTACTAAATGTATAAAAAAAAAAAAAATTCAAGGAACTATAGAAAAAAAGAAAAAGATACAAATTTCAAGTGTTAGGAATAAAACAACTTTTATGTATGTATGTATGTATTTAATTTTTTGGTATCAGGGATTGAACTGAGGATCTTGCGTTTGCCAGGCAGGTGCTTATGCCACTGAGCTATATTCCCAGCTCCCCTTTCTGTTTAAGCAAACAACTTTTATCACTACAAAAAAATGGATATAATAGAATATTGCAGTCAACACCTACATGCATACTTTTTTTTAAACATACATAAATTTAACCTCTGTGAAATGGGCTGGCCAATTCTTCAAAATAGGCAAGCCATCATTAATACGAAATAGATTGATTGACTAGTCTTAAACTAGTGAGGAAATGGAGTTTGCAATGTTTTTTTGGTATGAGGAATTGAACTCAGGACCTTGCTGTACCTCTGAGCTATCACCCTAGAATCTGTAGTTTTAAAGTTTCCCTAAAACAAAGCTGCTGCTGCAGGACTAGCTCAGGGTTCAGGCACATGTAGTTTAGACAAGACCCTGCATTTGTCTCCAGCACAAAAAAAAGTACACTAAACTAAACAGAAAAAGCAAACCTTAAGACTGAACACGCAGACCCAAATGAGTCTCAAGTACACAAGAGACCTTCCCCACAAAAGCCAGGTCAGGGCCCTGTGAGGCTCACCGCAGTCAGGCTTTGGGGGAACGCCCAGGTCAGGGGCCCCAGGTAGGCAGTGGAGGGACACCAGGAGCCTCTGGAGTGTTAGCATGGGAGCCCCCATGTTAGCCTCCGGCCCTCCTGGCAAAGGAGGCTGTGACTGCTAATCCTGACAACTCAGCTTCATTGGATTACGAAATGCAAATCAGGTTAGTAGAGCACTCTCTGGGTGGGTCACAAACGTGTGACTTTGAGGTCTTTATCTGGCCGGCTTTTCACTAAGCGGCTTTCCTCTGCCATGCCCTTGTGCCATGTTGTCCTGCCCTGGAACTAGCCAACCACGGATTGAACCCTCTGAGAGCTTCAGCCAAACAAACCTCTCTTCCTTCCAGGGGCAGGAGTCAGGATTGTGCCCCAGGGCAGGACAGCTGACTGACACAATGCCACAAGCAAAAACGTGTCCACCTCCTGGACTTTTCTGCCAGAATTCAAGCTCTGCGCTCGGGGGATCTGTGGACCTTGTGACCGACTGAAGAGGGTAAGGCGGACGTGACCCGAGTCTGAGGCAGGAGTGCCAGCCAGAGTCACACAGCCCTGGTCATGTGAAACCCCTTGGAACCCTCCCCTGCTGAGACAGGGACAGAGAATCAAGGCCACCCTGTAGCTCTTAGGAGTGTTGCAGGCAGCCAAGTTAGATAGAAATACTGTAGGCAGTCAGACAGGGTGAGGTGCTCGAAGGAAACAACAGCCAGACGCCTTACAGCTGTGGGAGGGATGGATGCTCCTGTGAGCCAGACCTAAAGACCAAACAAATGCTGACCTCCCTAAAGTTGGCATCCGGGATTGCTCATTAGTCAGGAAGACTCATGGACTGAAGGCCACCAGATAAGGTCCCATTTTACATTCATGCCCGCTTGCTACATGACTGGCTACCCCACTTGGTCCTGGGCCTAATCAATTTTACCTGAGCAATGGTGCTTGTAATCCCATTGGTTGACCATAGTTTTGTCCTACCCCACATCAGCTACGTGAGTTCCCACTTTCTCCATCTTAGCTCCGCATGGTTTTACACTATAAAAGTCCCTGGATGAGACAGCTTCCCGGGTACTACCCGCTCAGGCCCCCCTCCTGTCCCTCTCTCGGACAGGAGCTTTCTTTCCCTCAATAAATATATTCTGCTCATAACCTCCGTTTGTTCCTAAAATTCATTCTTCGGTTTTAGAGAACACGAACTTGTGCAGGTCAGGCCTGGAGATCATTTTTAGGTCACCCACCTGAGATCAGTTTTTCTCCCTGTATCATTTTGGAGTTTCCCACCGAGATCACTGGACGGAGGTATGAGTTAGCTTTTCTTTCATAAATTCTGGATTGGGACTTGCTTAGGTAACAAATTTTTCCCACCCTGCGTCCACCTAAGCGAGTTCCCATTCTCTCCACCTTAGCCCCGCATGGTTTTACACTATGAAAGTCCCTGGAAGAGACAGCTTCTGGGGAGATTACCGGCTCGGGCCCCCCTCCTGTCCCTCTCTTGGACAGGAGCTTTCTTTCTCTCAATAAATATATTCTGCTCACAACCTCCGTTTGTTCCTAAAATTCCTTCTTTGGTTTTAAAGAACACACACTCGTGCAGGTCAGGTCGGGAGGTCGTTTTTCCCCGTATCACTTGGAGGTTCCCAGCATCACTTGGAGGTCACCCACCCGAGATCAGTTTTTCTCCCTGTATCGGGAGGACATAACCCAGACACAGCTGAAAGCCAGCAGACACAGGAGCGTGCCCCGCTCCTGGGGTCATGGCTCGCTCCGCACAGGGCGCATCACCTGCTCCTTCTTCCGGTCGGCCTTCTGCTTGTTCTCCCGCACGACGCGCTGCCGGGCCAGCCCCGCCTCCTCGTGACTCAGCTTCCCCTGCAGCCTGCGGCACTCACTCTCAGCCAGCTGCGCCGCGCGGTCCTTGGCCCGCATCCGCTCCTGCCACTCAAGAAATTCTGAGAAGTCCCCGTGCCCATCCATGAGCTTGTCAACCCTGTGGTACAAGGACAGATGCAGTAGGGCCACCAGGAGGCCACAAGTTCCCTGGGGGCGGTGGTCCTGTGGCACTTGGCCGCATCTACTGTGCCCCCCCACCCTCTCCTCTGCACCCACGCACCAGCATGTCATTCTGGGTTCCCCTCAGTCCGTTTGCTCTGCCCGCCTGTCCCCCTGCCATCCCTGTGTCCACTGTGTCTGGACACCATCCCGTGTTCCTGTCTGTCCATCTGCCCAACTCAGGCATGGAAGGGTCCAAATGGGCAGCTGGGAAGCAGTATCAGGAAGAGGCCTGGGAGGAGGTGACCTGGGCAAGGTTTAAGGAGAGCTAGGGGTTTGGAAGATGCCCCCATGCCCTGGTCCATCTCTCCCAGAGTGGGATTATCTCTGTGAAGCGTGGCCTGAGCTGACAGTCCCCCTGCCACCTTACCTGCAGGACCACAGACTCTTGCCACCCCGTGACACGAGGTGAAATACCTGCTCTCCACCCTGCTTCCCCTAAGATTGCCAGGGTTGCCCGAGTGTGGCTCATATGTGGATAAAGAAGACTGGGGGTTGGGGCCCTAGACAGGTTCGCAATGGGCTCGGTCTCTAGGAAGCCCGGGTGAGGTCAGACACCCAGTTTCAGCCCCACCTTGGCCTCCAGGGGAGGCAGAGGAAGTCAGAGCGGAGCTGACCGCCAGGCCGAGGGTGTCATCAGTGCTGTCTATGCAATGCAGCATCCCCCAAAGCCCAAAGGACAGGTTGCAGGGGCTCCTGGGTGTGGAATAGGTGGGGCACTTGAGAGAGTGGAGGTCCCCACCACTTCCTGCTCTTAACCCCGGTAATATCCTGTACCCTGGGTAATATCCCATCATCGACCAGTAAATGGAGCTGGATGTGGTGGTACACACCTGTAATCTCAGAACTTGGGCGGGTGAGGCAGAAGAATGACAATTTAGAGACCTGGAAGGCACTGGGTTCCATCCCTAGTACCACAAGAACAAACCACAGAAAAAAACTAAGATGGTGAGCCAGAACCCTGATTTACAGTCAGTGGATTGGAAGCCCAGGTGCCACCTGGGGGCCCAGGCTGGCATTTGGAGCCAGACCTGGCCGTGACGATGTCTGAGTGGGGAACGGTCTGATCCGGGGTCTTCCATCGCATCCTCGGCGCCAGCCCTCGCCTCGCTGCAATCACAGCTGTCTTGCAGGGGGCGCCCGAGAGAGGGCCCAGTGCCGGCGCCTCACCTCTGCAGCTCCTTCTCCACCTGGCGCCGGTACAGGGCCCCTTCCCGCAGGATGGCAGCTGTGTTCAGCTTGACAGGGACATGGTCAGGCTGCAGGGGAGGGTGAAGGAGGGGCTGGCAGTGGGTGGGGGTGGCCAGGCCCTCTCTGCTTACCCCTGCCTGGGTAGAGCCATCTGCCTCAGCGGGGGGCTGCCCTCCAGCCACCCACCCCCATCTCCTGAGGGTGGGAGGGCTGGGGTCCCTCACCCTGTAGAAGGTCAGCTTGGGAGCCTTCCGGATGTGGGGCAAGGCAGATCGAGGCCGCTGCTGTTTCTTGGGGGCCTGAGCAAGCCAAGCAGAGGCAGCCTGGCACCTGGGCCTGCTGGGGGCCCCGACCTCCCCCTGGGCAGACGTGGGGCTGCACTCTTGGCAGCCCATCCCACCTTTCTGCCCCAGTCAAGCTGGGTCCACACGTCCCCACCCTGGTGCCCCCAGCCCCGGCCTCTGCCCTCCAGCCATGCTGCACGCTGCTTGGCAGGGAGTGGGAAGAAGTGCGAGGTAGACACAGCTCGCTCCTCGGCCGCACTCCAGCCTGAGTGGGGGCTCCGTGGCAGGCTGCTCCTCAGTTCTCTCCCTCACCCCACTGTGCACCAGGAGCCCTGAGCCATGGGTAAGATGCTGCTAACGCCATTTTTAGGGTACAGCTTTTTGTCCTGGTCCCCTACGTTTTCCTTCCTGGCTAACACCCCTGGGATTGCCTTTTTTTCTTTCTTTGGTGGAACCGGGGATTGAACTCAGGCCCTTGCACTTGCCAGGGAAGCACTTATCTCACTGAGCCATCTCCCCAACCCTCGGGATTGCCTTTTTGATAGAAGTTTGAAATGCTCCACCTGAGACATTGGGGAACACAGAGTCGAGGTTGCAGACACATTCTCGGGGTGCTTTCCTTCTCCTGGGCACAGGTGTACACTTGCCTGCCAGTCCTCTGTGTGGCCCTAGGACCACTCCCAGACATACTGGGAATCTGCCCGTGACAGGAAGAGGCTAGATAACTGGCCTTTGCATCACCACTGAAATGGTGTCCTTTGTTTTTGGTGGCACTGGGGGGTTAAACCTGGGCCTTCACACCCTGAGCTGCATCCTGGGCCCTTTCATTTTGAGATAGGGTCTTGCTAAGTCACTAAGTTGCCCAGGCTGGGTTTGAACTTGTGATTCTCCTGCCTCAGCTTCCCAGAGTGCTGGGATTCACAGGTGTGTTCCACACCCTGCCATGGGAACTTCTCTGTGATTTGAGAACACGTTACCTGTGCGGGTGGCCCTCCATGGGGCCTAGGCATAGCACACCGCAGCTCTTCCCTGTTCGCCAGCAGCAGCAGCTCCTGCCAGGACACCACGGGGGGTCCTGCCACACTGGCCAAGCCCCTGTACCCATGGGCCTTTGGGGGGACACACAGGCGGAGCCCACTAGGTCCTTCCCCCTTAGCAAGTGTGGGGACTTGGGCTCTGGGGAGGCAGGGGGTGCCACCACCTCAGCCTTAAGGCGGTTGAATCTCTTGACCAGCTGCAGTTGCTGCTGCTCCTTGGGCTCCTGGTAGGTGCTCTGAGGAACCTGCAGGGGGGACCCAGCCAGGGGTAGCCACTCAGAGGGCATCTAGAAATGCCAGCAGTGGCATGGGATATAAGTGAAAGGACAGTGGACAGTGGCCTGGGCTTGTGGAGAAGGCCCTGCCTAGGACCCACTGGGGACGGCAGGGTGTGTGGTGCCAGAGGGGAGCTGGGGGAATGCCAGAGGCCCAGGAACATAAGTTCTCCTGGGATGGCCCTGCAGAGACCAAGGTGGCCACAGGGCACCCACTGGGTCCAGTCAGATATGTCCACCAAGGGGCAGCCAGCTTCGACACCCCAGACACCAGATCTGGTATCCACACTCCCCTCATTCCTGCTCCTCCTGGGCGCCAGAACTCATCCCATCCAAACTGAAACCCGTATCTTCTCCCACCCACCACACCCATGCCTCGGAACCCTTGCAGTGCCTGTGTCTCTCACCCCTGCCATCTCCAATCCCGCCTACCTGCTTCAGGCCACCTGCACAACCAGCCCTCACTGCCCCCTTGTGGCCAGAGGGATCTTGCATTGGTGCCAGCCCACCTCGCCGCATCTGTGGGGTATGTGGCAGCGGGGTGGCCCCTTCCCTCCTGGGCCTTGGCATGCCCTTGGCTCACAGCCCGATCTGCCCTGCTGCAACCCCGGCCCACTGCTCGCTCTTGTCAAGCCTTCACTCTGGGCACCTCTCCCCCGGCCCTGCCTGGCGTGTTACCTGGAACCGATACCCTTTGCCCTAGCTGCTTCTGCCCCCTGCCCTGCGCCGGTCCCTCTCCTCAGCACTCATCACCACCTGACAGGTATGAGGAATTTCTGTTTCCTGTCGGAGTCCCTGCTGGGAACACAGTACCTGGCGCTAGTAGGGTACTGTAACTTTTTCTTTTTGTACCAGGATTCAAACTCAGAACCTTGTGCTTGCCAGGCAGGCACTGTGCCACTGAGCTATATGCCTAGCTCTGGGTTCTGTAACTGTTGAAGGAATAAATGAGTGGACTGGATGCATCCTCGTGAGGGGCAGGGCAGGGAGGGCAGAGATAACAAGTGTGGATCCAGCATGGCCACCTTGTAGAATGTCCTCCAGCATCTCACAGCTGGTGCTGAGATGCACAGGGCTACAGAGAAGGGGTGGGACCTGGGGGAGGGGGAGGGAGAGTGGAAGGGGAGGGAGAACCCAAGGACTTGAGGAAAAAAATGCATTAGTTCCTGAAGAGATGGGATCAGAAATGGTGAAGATCCTGTAAAGGGGTTAGCTGAGGGTTACTGAGCAACAAGGCCCCTGATCATCTGTCCACCCACCCATCCATCATCCATCCATCCATCACCAACCCATCATCCACCTATCCATCATCTATTCATCTATCACCCATACATCAGTCCATCCATCCAGTTTATTGTTTATCCACCCACCTGCCCATCTATCCATCCATCCTTCTACCCCCATCCACCATCCATCCATCCATCCATCCATCCATCATTCACCCATCCATCCATCACCTATCCATCTGTCCACCTTTCCAGCCTGCCATTTGTCTACCCACCTGCCCACCCATCCAGCCATCCTTCCACCCCGTCTATCTTCCCTCCATCATCCACCCATCCATCCATCCATCCATCCATCCATCCATCATCCACCCATCCATCTTGCCATCACCCATCCATCCATCCACCTTTCCAGCCTGCCATTTGCCCACCCACCTGCCCACACAGCCGTCCATCCTTCCATCAACAACTATTTAGTGAGGATCTGCTCTGAGGCAGGACTATGCCAGCCCCATTGTGAATGTGAAACAAAAGGAGATGGACATGTTCTGGTACAGGACAGAAAATAGGCAGGTTCGCACATCACTAGACTCATCATTGTGAGCAAGAAGCTAAGTGAGACATGCAACAGAACTGAGGCTTCAGCAAGAGGAGCTTCTGTGGAGAGAGGGCTTGGGGACCTGAATGAGAGGGGACTAGGTGGCTCCTGGGATCTTCCAAGGGCACTGTGCCCTTGGCCTCCTATGGCCCAAGATGTCTTTCTTGGCCTGAACAGTGCAGGGCATGATGCACACCCTAGATATTTTTGAACTACCATGAAGGAAGTATACTGACTGATGCGCTGTATCAACCTGAGAAGTTTAGAAGTTTAATTAAGTGACTCAGCAGGGAGCCAGGATTCTTAGTTTGTAAACATGTTCATCCTGTGCAAGAGGAGGGCCTGGGCACTGTGTGAGTTCTGCACCCCCAGCCCCAAGGGTAGCTTGTTTACAGTATAAAGAGGGGGGAGAAGCTCGCTAGCAGTGCAGCTGCCGCCCTTCCCTTTGCTCCTCGCTGTTTTCTGCTGCCATGAACTGCTGCTCTCTGTCATGTTCCACCAGCCGAGTATAGACTGAAACCTCCACAAATTGTGAGCTAAATAAACCTTTCTTTCCTTCATTTTAGGTGCCCAGCAAGGAGTAAAAAGTAACTGAGGCAGGAAGTTAGCCCCAAAAGAAGGCTGACTTTTAGAAGAGCCAAGGTAGCATTTCAGACACGCAGAGCTGGAGCCTGGATCAAGCCATCTTACCCTAATTCAGTGGTGAGAGTCAGGCAGTGGCCTATTGTCCAAGCCATTTTTCAGTTACTTGCAGTACAGAATCCTGACTCATAAAGTTAGGCAGAAAGGGACAGGTGTGTGCGTGTGTGCGTGTGTGCGTGTGTGTGTGGCAGACGTGCAGGGGCCCTGCAGTAAGGATGTCACCATTCCCAGAAGGTATATACACTGTGATCCGACCTGCAGCACCTCATCTTGGGGAGGGCAGCCTACTGCACCAGGCTAACAATGGGCTCCAAGCTCCAGCCCCACAGCCTGACAGCTCCATTCCACACCTGCTGATGGGGGCCCCAGGAATGGTGGGCTTCAGGTCTGCTGGCTGCCTGCTCCATGGGGGTCGCCCAACACTCCCGGGCAGGGCAGGTACACCTGACCTGGAGCAGTCCAGCTTCCAGTGGTTCCTGCAGTCCAGCCTCCTGGCCTGAACATCCCAGAAGTACAAGCCCGTGCCTCCACAAATGTCCAACTCACAGGTCTAGGCTTGGCCACAGTGGGGACTGGGTCAGGCACTGGAATGGCACGGGGCCGGGGTGCAGTCAGGTTGAATTCCCGAGGCTCTGTGACCTTGGCCTTGGCCTTGGTGAGAGAGGCCTGGTGGGCCGATGCCCCCTCCAGCTGGTCCAGCAGGCCCTGGACCTCAGGCTGCCACCTGGGAGGTGAAGGGAGAAGCCCTGGGTCACTTCCTATGCAGGTCACTGAAGGTCAGGCCTTGGGACCCAAAGGACCTCAGGATCTTGGGCTCCCTTGGAAGATTGGTCATGGGACTGTGGGCCCCTCCTCTCTGGTGATCAGCACTCCTTGGCACAGGACAGCCACACCCTTGAGCAGATGAGGAGAAAACAAGCCTGGGGCGGGGCAGGAGGGGAATAGGGATGCCAGGCGTCTGGTGAACATGGAGCCTGAGCAGCAGGGGCATGCAGAGCTAAGCAGGGGTGGAGCGGATGGTCTCCACGGACCAGGACATCAGCAGTCGGAGCAGCCTTGCAGAGTCACACTGGGGTGGCAGGTTCAGTGGGAGCAGAGGGAGTTGGGAGTGAGGGCCGGTCCCTGCAGGGAGCCCAGCTGTCCTGAGAGTTCAGGCTTTGGGGCTGGAATAGGCCTCTGGGCCTCCTGGGAGCTGCCCACTACCCCCCTTGTGCCCTTGTAGGAGTCCCAGCCCCACGCCCAGACCAGGGGTTCCCAGGAGGCCATGTCAAACTGGCCCCAGGGCCCCAAGGCTGGGAAGGGGCAGTAGGTGTGAAGGCTGGTCCTGGGGGCTGGGAAGGCATGCCAGGGGTGCCCCATTCCCTGGAGTCCTGTTCCACTGCCAGCTGTAGTGGTGCTGTGGGACTGAGGACTATACCCCTTATGGTGACAGCAGCTCTGGGGAGCAAAGGCCATAACAGCCCCTTGGGAGCCAAGGAGACTGTCCCATCCTCTCAGAAGCAGACGTGTAGGGTCCCCCTGCTGCCGGCCTTCCCATGGCTACACTGAGCCTCTGCCCACAGTCCGGTCTACCCTGAGCTCACCCCAGGCTCAAGGGCAGCTTGAGGCATCCAGCCTGGTTCAAGGCCTGAAATACCAGGAAATAAGCTGGTGCTTATCTGCCCTGCTCCCTTCACCCTATACTCTTGGGGTCCAAAGAGTGGCCAGGGCCAGGGCTGGGCCACTGTCACCTGCCCCTGTGCAGTGGGCAGGCTCCAGAGCAAAAGGGCCACTTCTTGTTCCCCTGATGCCCTCTGACCACCAGGTGCACCTGCTGCCAGCCTGCCGTGGGCAGAGAGGGTCCCTGGACTGCTGGCCGGAACATTTCTGCTGGCCTGCTCGTCTTGTCCCTCTGAACCACTCAGCCCAACCCCAGGGGAGCAAGGAGGCCCCGCTGCACTGAGGAGTTCTATCCAGGGCCAGGGGCCCTAGCCCACCTCAGCAGGGGTTCGATCCAGTTCTCCTGCACGTGGGCCGCCACGTAGATGAGGCTCCACTCGTCCTTGATCCAGGAGCACAGGTTTAGGGGGTTGAAGAAGAACCTGAGGAACTGGTGGTAGGGCCATGAGGGTGTGCTGAGGCTGAACCCCCCAAGAGCCCCAGCCACCCAGAACCCAGGGTCGCAGCTGTGTGCCTGGCAGAGCCACATCCCTAAGCCCTGTGCCTGCTCCCCAGCAGTGAGACCACAGGGAAGGCACCCTCCGGGCAGGCAGGCTCTGAATTCTGGGGACGGATGTTGCCATTGTCCACAGCGCCCTCCCTTTGACTCAGCACCACCCCTAGACTGAGTCTGTGCCCCCTGCCCTAGGCCTGGTAACTGCCACTCTGTCCTTGCATGGCAGGGTCCCCAGGGCCATAGCTCCCAGCTCCTAAGCCCACAGTTCTGGTTCAGGGAAGCTAGGGGGGAGCTCAGGAGGGCTTTGCTCAGGTGACTGTGAGCTGGCAGGGGGTGCTGCACTGACCACACTGTGCAGAGTCCTCTCTGTCCCATGTCCTTGACTCCTCCCTGCCCCACAGGGGCTCTGGGCCCTCACCCTTGGCCCCATTCCTCCACTGGTGTCAGCCAGCTGCCCCTGCCCTCCTCTCCAGCGATATCTCTTGGACACACACTGGTCAGTCCTGACTATACAGCAACAGTGCTCCCTCCGGGGTGGAGGGAGATGGACCACAGTGGGCTTCGGGTAAGGAATGGGGAGGGATGGCCTGGACAGCTGCCAGCGGCCCACAGCTCTGCTGCTCCCTGGGGAGTCACATGGCTGGTGTCTCCCTGGGCCAGGCTGGCACCATGTGGGGCACTGCCCTGGCCCTTGTGTGTTGGGCATTTGGTACCCAAGTGCCAGGTAAGTCCCTGTAGGACCCAGGTGAGCTAAAAAGGTGATCAACAGAGGCTAAGAGAGTCAGCAGAAGACCGGCATGGTGGCACCCGCCTGTCATCCCAGCATGCCAGAGGCTGGGGCAGGAGGATCACTGCAAGCTCAAGACCAGCCTGGCTACAAAGTGAGCTCAAGACCAGCCTGAACCGCATAATGAGACCTTCTCTCAGAAAGACAAAACAAACAAAACAACAACAACGTGGACTGGGAATGTAGCTCATTGCAGAGAGCTTGAGTTCAATCACCAGCGTGGTTCTGGCAGTGCTGCTACTCCTGTCCCCATCCTGTGGAGTGTAGAGATATAGATTTGAGACAAAAGCCTAATGTCCCAAGAGAGCAGGGAACACTGAACTGAGCCCGAGGAGGGTTGCTGTCTGTTTACAAATTCCCGAAAAGCTGGGACCCAAAGCAGCAGATAACAGCTTCTCCTGCAGGCGCCCTGTCCTTTGATCTCTTGCTTGGGATGTTATTGGCTAGCATTTGTGTGAACCTAGTGTTAGGCAAATGGTGGAAGCCAATAAATATAGTAGTTTGTATTCACTTAGGTAATTATGCACATTCCTTAGTTGCCTTTACCCCTCAATAAAAGTGAGATGCTTCTGAGGCTCTGGGCTCACTTGGAGAAAAACTAATCTCAGTGAAACCTCTGAAGCTACATTCATCAGGTCTTCTGGTACAACAGTGGAGCTGGTGGCTTTGACCAGTGAGGCACCCACATGACACCCATGTGCTCTTGGCTATGGCTTTCCCTGTCCCTTCTCTAGGATGTCGCCCTGGGCTGGTGACCACCTGGTCTGGGAGGAGGAGGAGGAGGAGGAACAGGGTTGGGGGCTGAAGATCAGGTGCCAGGGCACTGCAAAGCTGCCTCCAGCATGCCTCCTGAGGTGGCAGCACATGGGCAAAGAGTAGCAGCCTCAGCCAGACGTGACATCTGCCTCCCTGAGGTCCCTGTGTCCCCCTGCATCCACAGAGGTGACTCCTTGGGCACAGACATGGGAGGAGGCCAGGAGCTGGCTACAGAAGCCTCATCCTCAAGTCGCTGGCCATCAGGACCTGGGACTGTCCCTGGGGACAGCGTGCAGGTTCTCTGTGGAGAAGACATTGATTTTCTCCCTCCCTCCCTCCCTCCCTCCCTCCCTTCTGTTTGGTTCTGAGACTTGAACTCATGACCTTGTGCTTGCCAGGCAGGCTTGATGCTGCTGAGCTATCTCCCCAGCCCCAGGACATCGATTTCCAATGCAGAATGAAACCACCAGAGACTCTCTTTCTATTGCTAAAAGGAGCCCAGTGGGATGGGCTGGTGTCACATCCCCTGCTGGGGTGGCAGGGACAGGAAGGGGCTCACCTTGCAGGTCTTGCCCACAGGCAACGCCTTGACAATGCTGCAGAAGAGCTGGAAGCCAAGCTCATCCAGCTGGAAGGTAGCCAGGTAGCAGAGCACTGAGGGGAGTGCACACTGAGGACCAGGCTTCACCTTCCTGGCCTGGCCTTCCCACTCCCACTGCCAGCACCGCAGCAGCCACTCTGCACATGGTCAACTGTGCCATGAAAGCAGAGGCAGGAGGCCTCCCCTCCTGTCCCCTCCCGTCCCCTCCCGTCCCTTCTTCCCTCCCCTCTCCTTCCCCTCCCTCCCTGTCTGTCTCTGTCTTTGTGTAAGGGGGACTGAACCCAGGGCCTCCACAATAAGCTACATCCCTAACCCCTTTCTAGTATTTGCTTTGAGACTTGTCATCCTGCACACCTGTGCTAGCATCACAGGTGTGTCCACATGCTCAGCAGGCAACTCTCCTATTTTAACACCCTACCCCCAGCCCGCATGGCTCAGGACCTGCTCTGTCTAAAGTTCTTGGAGATGGGGCCAGAGTCAGGGACAGCCTGAGAAAGGAGGGGCACTCTCATTCAGCCAGGCTGGGCCTCCTGTGCTGGGCCAAGGCTATGCAGGGGCAGGGGAGAGGTCTCACTGCCAGCCCTGCACCCTTCCATGAGCTTGAGGCCTCAGCTCCCCATCTGTGGGGTGAGGGATCATGTCCTCTCTGGTCACCCTGCCACTGCCTAGGTCACTCCAGGGGAGAGCCCTGGGGACACACAGATGACACTCACCTTGGAAGAGGCTATAGTCGGCCCACAGGCAGAGCTGGCCGTCCCGTACATAGAAGGCATCCACTACGATGGCCAGGAGCTTTCTGTAGTGCAGGCAGCCAGACAGGAGCTCCAACACGAATGCCTGCTTCTGTGGGCTCAGCACCTGGGGGAGAAACAGCCAGAAGTGTCACCAGGGTTGCTAGGAGAGGGGCAAGGTGGGGACAGGTATCCCCTCCAGGCCAGGAGGCCCAGGCTCATCCATCCTCCTGGAGCAGTGGGCAGTAATGGAGGTGACCAGGCGGGGGCCAAGAACTGGGAGGACCAGCGTCAGGGAGGGGACAGGGCCTGGGGCTTCCTGGGGACAGCATTATGTGGGGACGGTGAAGAATGCTGGAGATGGATGGGGTGGCGGCTGCTAGCCAGGAGAATGTGCTGCAGACCACAGGAGTTGACCCCGGGAAGTGGTTAAGTGATAAGTTCCATGCAAGGTACATCTAAGATAATGTAAAAAATGAGCTCATTTAGAGGTTTTCAGATGAAGGAATACAAAGCTACCAAAGGCACAAGGCCTAAGCAGGCAAACGCGAAGCTCGTGCAGTGGGGGAAGTGAGGAGGAGCTGGGCAGGGAGCCGGTACCATGGCCTCTGGGCAGGGAGCTGGCCCGACTCACTGGCTCCTCCGTTGACAGCTCAGGACGTTTAGGGGTTTGTGACCTGTCTGTGATGTGTGTTCACAGTTCAAACAAATAAAGTTTTCAAATTGTCTTGAGAAGTAATCATGCTTTGAAGGCAGCAACAGGGCCAGCTTGCGCCCGCCCGCAGCGCAAAGCGAGCTTGGAAGTTTCCCAGCCCTCGGGAGCCAGGCCTCCCCCTCTGCGATCGATCGCTTCTGGGAATCGCGGAGCTGGCCGGCTGGAGAGGACGCCCACGCGGAGTGTGCACGGCGACGACAGCACAGGCGGCCGGGAAGCTGGGACCCGCCTGGGGTCCCGCGGGAATCATGGTCCCACGCGCCTCCCCACCCAGGCCAGTGCCGCGCTGTCACTGAAATGACGCTGCTGCGGGGACAAATGAAAGGCAGACAACAAGAAACAGAGAGGCGGACCTTTAGCAGACGGCAGGGCACCCAGGGCTGGAGGGAGAGGCGAGCCGAGAGGAGCCGGGAAATGGAGAGGGCTGGGCGTGGCGAGCTCTGCGCCGGGACAGGCCTATTCGTTGTGTACCGCAAGGACATACTCAGGAAAATTCGCAAAAGCAAAGTGATGCTACTGGACCCCTCACAAGGAGATGACGCAGATGGTGGTCCTGGTGGACAGGAAGTGCGCGCGGGAGCGGGCTACGTTCGAGCCTCCGCACCCACATCAGAATGCACTGTACGGTGAACGCCGGCCCTTCGGCTTGCGTACCGGAGCCCAGCGTGCGCACTGCGGCCTCACAGGGGTCACGGGGTCCCCTCCACAATCCCTCATTTCCTTTCACAGTGCACCTGGCTTATGGTACCAGGAGAGCCCTGGATGTGGAGCCACACCCCACTGGCTGAGCTCGGACAGAAACAACGCTATCACCTTTTTATTTTGAATGTTTTTATTTGCAGGGAAATTTCCAGTGGTTTCCCATTTTCTCAATCTATGAATTATCAGCTTGATTCTTGCTTAAACTTTATCTCTCAGTCCTGGGGCTGGAAACTATAGAGCTCTCAGCCTACAGCCAGCCTGGGCCTCAAGCCTGTGTGGAGCCAATCTTAATTTAAAGCTTGCTTTTTTTGTTGCTTTTTGGCTTTTGGGGGGAGTATAGGGAATGGAACTCAGGGTCTCACACTTGCCAAGCAGGCACTGCACCACCGAGCTACATCCAGGCTGTTTTTCGGCTTTGTGAGATGGGCCTCACTATGTAGTCCAGTTGCCTTGAACACATCCATCTGCCTGTCTCAGCCTTGAATGTTGGGATTATAGGCATGTGCCAGCACACCTGTCGATAACTTCTAATTGGGATACATTTTCTTAGACACTTGTATGAATCCCTCATTCACATGAGAATTATTTGTTGTGAGGTTGTAATCTGCTTTTTAGTTTGGTGTGAAGTATTACAGGCTTGTGGAATGTGTGGCCTTTTTACTTTGTTTTGAGATCAGATTTGTCTGGTCTGGCCCTGGGAAGGGGCCTGGGTCCTGAGACAGCTAAGGGAGGAAGGGGGGGGTGGGGACAGGCTTCCCTCTGCTCACGGATTCCGTCTGTGCTTGGGATGTGGGAACGTCTTTCTTTTTTTCTGGCAGTATCGGGGATTGAACTCAGACCCTTGTGCTTGCCAGGGAAGCGCTTATTCCACTGAGCCATCTCCCTGGCCCCTCGAATGTCTTTCTTAATAAGGCCTGGAGCTAGCCCACAACTCCAGATCCCAATGCCAGCAGCCCAGGGCAGACAGGTCCCCAAGGGCCACACTAGGCTGGAGGAGGCTGTCGATGAAGGACCAAGTGAGTGCCAGGACAGGACACCCAGGGCAGGGCCGGGGCCTTGGCATGGGAAGGGCAGCGTGCTAACGGGAGGCCAGTGGACACCGAGACCTGGGCTGTCTGGATGTGGGGCATCTTGCTGAGTGGGACTGAGTCTGGGGGCCTGTCTTTCCTCAGGAGTTAGTGGGGACCTGGGGCTGGGCAAGGGGCTCTGTCTCCCAGGATCAGGGGAGATCTGTGGCACTCAGGCGAACTTGAGCCAGCCTCGGACAGGGACCCCAGAGGGCTGTGGCCACCAAGGTCTCTGAGTCAGGAATAAAATCTTGGGCTTCGGTCCAGTTTGAGGCTCTTGAGTCCACAGCCACCAAAGGCTCCGCCTGCCTCTGGGAGGGCGCAAAGCTCTAGCTTTACTGCCGCCAGTGCCCCTGGGGCAGAGCCGGGGCTCAGGCAGGGCCGGCCAGGGCAAAGGCAGGCAGGGGCCTGGATGCTGCCAGGTCACCACCCGGAGTGCACACACGATATCCAGGAGCCAAGGCTTGTTAGAAAGTCTGCCAAGCCCTGTCCTCCCTCCTTCCTCTCAGACAGGAAGGACTCTGCCCTGCTGGGGTAGGGATTCACTTTGTTGGCAGAGCCCTTTTAATCAATGAGCTTGGTGACAAACTGCTACGTGTGACCTATAAGAAATTCTTTGAAGAGAAAGCAGATTCATCTTGCCCTCTCCTTGCCTGGGATGTGGGTCCCCTGCTGCATGGAGCAGCCATTGTGTGGCTATGCAGAAGGAAGCGTGCACCACCAAGCCGCCCTGAGCTACGCCCTGAGCTCCCCACGGGCAAAGAGGCCTCTGGTCTATGTAAGCGGCTACTTTTGGATTATGACACAGTCAAACCTAGTTCCCTAACAGTTATAGATCCAAACAGATGGTTCAAAGAACAGGTACGTAATGCATGGAGATTTGTGAAAATATAGAGAAGTGCCGGTTATGTCTCTACCAGGCACTTCCACCACTTATTTGTTGGCAAAAAATAAAATTTGTTTCCCTACACCGTGCCAGCGGGTGAGGAAGGGAACAGGTGCCAGGGGAGGAGGGCAGCAGCGACACCCAGATCTCTGTGATGGCCAGCGGGAGCTCCCTGAGATAGCCCTAGAGCCAGGCGAGGTGGTGCACATTGTGTCCAGTAATCCCAGCACTCTGAGAGGCTGAGGCAGGGGGAGCACAGGCTTTTTATTTCATGAAAAGTAACAAGAGGTGAGGATGTAGCCCAGTGCAAAAGTCCTGGGTTCACCCCCAGAACTGGGGAAACAAAGCTACTCTTGAAGCAAGGATTGGTGTTTCCTGGGACCCAATCTTGGGTGCATCTGGCCAGGGGCAGAGGGACAGGACAGGTGGGTCAATGAGCCCACTGCCATCTGTACGGGGGACAGCGCCAGCCCCTGCTCAGGAGGCGCTGCACCGACTTTGACAGCAGGCAGCAGGGTGCTCTGGGTCCTCGCTCAGGAGAGGAGAATGTCCCAACACGTCGCCTACGGAACGGGTCTGGAACAGCTTCACTGCTTTTTCAGGGTCTACAGGGTCTCACTACACAGATCGGACTCATAGTGATTCTCCTGTTTTGAGCCTCCCAAGCGCCTGGATTACAGCCGTGAGCCACCACACCCAGTCTCAGTCAACGTGTCAGCGTGCCCTGGGGCCTGGGCCAGCAAGGCATGCAGGGGATCAAACCTCCAGCTGCTGCGCTCTGCCTAAGCAGGCACTTTAGTCGGCTGAGCTATCTGGCCACCCAGGCCTGGAACAGTTTCCTCAGAGCCTGTGCGGCACAGGGGTCCACCACGGGCACTCTGATGCTCAGTCATCTTCAGAGTCACAGATATGGGGTAACTTAGGAAGAAAGGCAGTTGGTTTCCTGATCTCATGGGGCCGCCCTGTGTGGTCGCGAAGCTGTCCTAGAACCTGAGCTTCCCTCACGGCCATGCACCTACCAGCCACCACCCACCCGGGACACAAGCAGACTCTGGGTGTATATGAATCATTTTGTTCTTATTCTCATACATAATATCTAATCGAAACATGTTTGTAGTCCTGGCCAAGCTCTGGACTGACACTGCCCACTGGAATCCGAGGGGCTGGGTGGAAGAGAAGACTGCACCAAAAACCACCTTGGACTGTGCTGATACATCAGGTGCGGGTGGGATTTGTTTTGGTTTTGTGGTTTGTTTTTCCCTTATGGAAGACTGAACGCACAGCCTTTGCACGGAGCTATAGCCCAGCCCTTTTCATTATTGTTGTTTTCTATCTTGAGACAGTCTCACTAAATTGCTAAGTTTCACACTGCTCAAACTGTCAGCCTTCCTGACTCAGTCTTCAGAGTGCTGGCTGACAGGTGTGGGCCGCCACGCCCTCCTCAAGGGCTACTTTAATAAACGGTAACGTAGAAGATAATTTCTGTGCTCAAGTTTTTTGTGAGACAACTGACAGGAAGAGCAAACACAGGCACCTGAGCGGGCCAGGCCTGCCCCTGAAGCCTTGACAGTCCCCTTCCCCAGACACTCCCTGTCCTTGTCCCCTCAGGCTGGTCCAGGCCCGCCCTGCTCATCTGGCTGCCCCACCCCGGCCTTTTGTCTCTTCTTCTCTATGAACAGCCCGCCACCTGCTGGCCACACCCTGTCTGACCAGTGGCTCAGAGCCGTGGCCGAGCCGTGGCCCAGCCGTGTGGATCCTCCAGGGCCACTGAGGCCCAGCTGAGGCCACCCAAGCTTGGTGCTGCCAGCTTGCCTGGTTCTGGGCACCCTGCGCCCTGCCCCTGCATGTGACCCAGGCCCAGGACCCTTGACTTCTTTCAGCTCCAGGCTGTCCCTGACAGCCGGTCCCCTTGTGCAGCAAAGCCAAGATTTTCATCAGGCCAAACCCACACTCTTGCCATGGTGGTGGCGGGAGCCTCTCGGTCAGCGCTCCTTCTTCAGCTAGAGTGGCCTTAGGTCTCCTAGGAGGTGTCACTGTGACCACGCTTTTTTGGGAGGCCCCACCTGGGTGTGTGCATGGAGCTGGCATGGGGTTTAAATGTTGGGGGGGTTGGGGAGATAGCTCAGTTACATAAGCACCTGCCTGGCAAGCGTCAGGTCCTGAGTTCAATCCCTAGTACCACAAAAAAATAAATAAATAAAATAAAATGTGGCATCAGGGTCAAAGATTGGCTGAGTGGCTCAGCGTCTGCCTAGCAAGAGTGAGGTCCTGAGGTTGATTCCCAGTACCAAATAAGTAAAGAAAGAAAGAAAGAAATAGAGAATGCCATTGTAGGCCCATGAGTCCTGGCGCCTTCCCGCCCCGAGGGCCCTACCTCTCCTGGGCCCCTAGGGCCTGGCATAACAGCACATCTTGGGCGGTCCTGATGCCCTGTGAAGCCCCTCCATGGCCTCTTCTGGTGGCATGAGCAGTACGTGGCCTTCCTGGCTTAGGGTCACCTCTCTCTGCCCTCTCCCTGCTTTTCAGTGCAGTCCCCTTCCTCTCCCTGTGGATTTGCAGGAGTCTCCTCTCTCTGTGTGGTGTCTGTACTTCTCTTTTGATCCTTAGACTGGGTCTGGCTGAGGTCAGCGTTGTGACCTCTGCCCTGTGTATCCAAATAACGTCACATGCCAGGCTGCCAGGGCCAGGACCACAGTGGATGTGGTCGGGCCGCAGGCCCCCAAGCCCTGCACCCCAGCCTCTGGGTGACTGTGTTGCGTCACTTTCTGGCAGGTGGCAGCCTCAAGCCTTCAGCAAACAAGGTGGGTGGATTGCAGCCATCTTCTGACAACAGAGATAAAGCGGGCTGCCCAGACTGTGTCAGCACCCGGTGCCCCTCTCCGCCATGACGTCAGAAGGGCAGTGAATGGACTAGAAAGGTCCCATGCCTCTAAAGTAGGCAGAACGAGTGGCAGCGGACAGCTGCCGCAGGGTGGCAGCCCTTGACAACTGCTGCCAGGCCCATGGGTGGTGTTCGGGGCCATACTGTCCTTGGAAAGGCAAGGACTGGTCACTGTGTCACAACTTCCAGGTGACAACTGCAACTTGTCTCCCACTAGCAATCTGTTAGTTGTGGTGACAGTTGTCAGCGTGGCCAGCTCCAGGAGCCCCAGTGGGGTGAGTGGAGCAGGAATGCTGCACTGCTCAAGGGATTGACCCCTGATGTCCACAGCTGAGTGCATGGGAGGACCCCCTCATCAGAACCCTGACAGACACCCCAGTCACAGACACTCTGCCCAATTCCCCGGCTGTGGCAGCTCTGTAGCAGTGCAGGCTGAACTGGGACCCGAGGGAGAGGGGGAGCTGGGGAGCTGCTAGTGGGGAGCCTTGCTGATCCAGATGGTGCACCAGGGGCTGCGGGACTTGGGGTCCCGAGGCTTTTGGGGGTAACCTGAGACAGAGAGGCAGAGGGGGCGCTGAGGGAGTCGGGGCTGGGCCCTGTCCTGACTGCGCCTCCACACCCTCCTGCCCCTGTGTGTTGGCCAGGTGCTGCACAAGGCAGGGGGCCTTTCCTGGCCCAGCTGTCAGCTGTTTTCATCATTTCCCCCGGCACATTTAGGGCCTCAAGGAAAGAGCATGGAGGCAAAGAGGCATGAGGTGGGGGCACTGACTTTGAGGGCCTCAGCTTTGCAGCCAGTTCTGTGCCTGGGCTGAGAGAAACAAAGGCAGCAAAGGCCACAGACAGACCTGAGTCCAGACTTACAGACTAGTATCCCCTGTAAATGCATTTGTGAGGACAGCATTTGAAGGCACACTCATGTGACAGTACCCCAGAGTGTCCCCTGGTGTTTGCCTCACCTACCCAGAGTGCGAGACCCCAAAGACCCAACGGCTGGGCTGCAGGAGACCAAGCACCTGCCCTGGGCACCTGCCCCCGTGGACAGAGGGCATGGGGTCGGAATGGCAGGGGCAGTGACCAGTTGACAGGGAGGGCCATGGGGACTGCTGGGGGTAGGCAGTGTGGCAGCAAAGGTCACTGCTCTTCTCTCAGGCTCCATACTTTACCCTAGTGGCTGAGGGTCTGGACTTGCAATGAAAGAGAAGGATGGGCCCCCAGGGGTGGGGCAGGAAAGGAGGAGTTGGCTGGCCAGCCCCCCTGGGAGCAGTGTGTTATTTCTCCCAAGGGTGGGCAGGCAGACCAAGGAGGTGGAGGTCTCAGCAACCTCCCAGGGCTTCGATGCCTGGCCAGCCCCTGCCTCTGCTGAAGCTGGTGAAACACAGCTCCCCATGAGCTGTGGCTGTGGGCACCTTCGGCACCACAGCCCTCCGTCCCTCTGGAGTGAGTGCTGGGGGAAAAGGAGTTCAGGGCTGCCTCATCCGACCTGGCTTGAAGACAGGCCAACTGTGGGGACCAGCGTTCCCTGGCTTACAGCCACTGTGCCTTCTCACTGGACCCCATCATAAAATACCTCCCATGACAAAGAAGGGTCTTCACGGAAACAACTAGCTGCCGTGTGACCGGGACTTGCCCAGGTGTCTCCCTGGGAAGGAAGGCACTGGATGGGAGTGTGCGGAATGCTGATTCGTGGAGGTGAAACAACATGAGGTGTCACTGACACAGCCACCCTGATCCTACCTTCAGGGAGGTGGATGCGGCCTCCAGGAACAGCTCAGGATTGTCTTTCTCAGGCTTAAATTTGTCCAGTTGTTCTGTCACAATCTCAATGCATCTTCCATAGTAGGTCATGTTCCCGGGCAGGACCCTGAAATAAACCGCAGGTCATGTCCTCCAGTCTCCGGGTGCTGGCCTGGGTGGTGGCAAAAGAAGCCTCAGCATCCTCCCCAGTATTGACAGGAAGCCCAGCAGAGTGCCAAGGACCTTGAGTGGTGAGGAATGTTGGTGTGATCAGGGGCTCTGGCTCAGGTCAACTGAGGCCCACTTCCTGGAACCATTTTCCTCTGACCTCTGTTGCCTGGGTGGCCTGGGATAGCCTTGCTGAGCTTACCTCCCCATTGCCCACACCTGCCTAGCCCCAGCCCAGTCCCTGAGACATGTGGGCTGCTCCATGGGCTGGAGGGGGGAGCAGGAAGGGGGAGCCCTGGGGGAGGAGCTGGGCCATTAGCTCAGCTCAGGCAGGATAGTAGGTGGGGGCAGGACGATGTCACACTGAATTGTCAACCTGACTGGAGTAAGAGATTCTGGGGGGGACTGGCCCAGGGGTGCTGTATTCCTCCGTGGATCAACACACTGATGTGCACAGCTGAATTCACTGGGTGGAGGTGGGTCCTGGGAGTTGCCTCAGGAGGGCACTTTGTGGGCCTTTTTGCCATGCTCTGCTTCTAAGTCAATCATGAAGCAAGTAGCTTGCTCTGCCACATCCTTCTGCTGTGATGTTCTTGCCTCAGAGCAGCTGACCATGGACTGAACCCTCTAAAACCATGAGCCAAACAAACCGCTCCTCCCTGAAGTTACAGGCGCTGGGTACCGTGTCCTTGCAATGAGAAAGCTGACCAACAGGGCTGTTTATAATTAGTAGTCCCTGGGTGCTGCGGGACCAAATCCTACAAGGTTGAGATCCCCAGGTCCAGCACCTCCACTTTATTTTTTATTTATTTATTTTTTTTTGCGGAACCAGGGATTGAACTCAGGCCCTTGCGCTTACCAAGGAAGCGCTTATTCCACTGAGCCATCTCCCCGGCCATTATTTTATTTTTTTGTGCATAGTCTCACTACACAGCACAGACTCGTAGTGATCCTCTTGATTTCTGCCTCCCTAGTGCTGGGATTACAGGCATGTGCCACCCTGCCTGGACTCCATCGCGGGCTCAGCGCGCCCCGGGGTGGGGCTGGCGCGGCATGCAGAGCCAGGGATCAAACCCCGACACCTGCTCTTACCTAAGCAAGTGCTTAGTCTGCTGAGCTATGCCGCCGGCCCGAGCACCACCATGTTAAAGACAAGGTAGTTGAAACCCTGTCCTAAGTAGCCAGGCCACACTGGGCACTGGATATTCCAGAAACATGCCAGTTTGGGACATGGCTTGCCAAGCCCTCCTGAGGGAGGCCTTGGAGGAGACACTTGGGATGAGGCTGGGTCCCCAAGAGCTGGCTCTCCTAGCCACTGGTAGTCTCCAACTACCCCCCAAACAGGTAGACCTTATGGGTAAAGGCTCCTGGAAGTTTTGGCTCTGGTCAGATCACTTGGGGCAGCCACAGAAGCCAACACCTCTCCTTTCCCATCCCCTCATCTGTCACCCACCACTCGGGGCCAGCGGATTGTGCAGGCCCTCCTGGCAAAGCTGGCTGTTTGCCCATTATCCAGGGATCAGGGAGCAGTCCCAGATCTAAGCCATCCATGGCCAAAGGTGCCTGGAAAATCAGTGTGGGCAGGGCCCCAGGAGATGACCATCCCGGCCAATTTCAGCCAATCCTGCCAGGTTTATGGTTGGTCTTCCATTCCCTGTTCCTATGAGGTTAGGCGAAGCACAGCATTAGGAAGCCATTCTGAAAGATCCAAATTTCAGTACGCTGAAGTGTGTGTGTGTGTGTGTGTGTGTGTGTGTGTGTGTGTGAGAGAGAGAGAGAGAGAGAGAGAGAGAGAGAGAAACAAAAGTGAAGACAGAGAGAGAGAAGAAAAAGAGAGAGGAGGGTAAGAGACAGACAGAGAGGAAGAGAATGCCCAGAAGGAATCATGAGTGTGTGAGCTGGAGACATCACGGAGTGCCTTCCGTGTAGGGCTGCAGAGTACCCCCAGCTTCCACTGGCGAGGACACCCAGGGGAGCACCTTCCAGCCCCAAGGTCTTACCCACTTTCAGGGAAGCCCAGGGGACGATGAATTATAGGAAGATACACGTGGCCCCAGGTGCCATTGTGTGAGTGGCAGGGCAGGGACTTAAGAGCCTGCCCAGGATGCTCCCTGGGTGGGCTTCCCTGAGCAGGGAGGAACAGAGGCTGGGCTGTCTATGTCCCCACTATGCCTGGCTGTAGCCTGCGCCTACACTGCTGTTCCAGCTCCAGAGCTCTGAATGACACAGAGCCAGCAGCAGCCTCTCTGGTGAAGCTAGAGGAATGGCCTCTGAAAAGGAGCTTGAAGACCTGGTGCCACAAACAGGCCCTGCAAGCCTGGTCCCTGAGAACCAAGAGAGTGAGCCGCTGGCACCAGCAGGATGCCATCTCCGCCTTCGCTCACCAGGCACCAGGTCCCCTTGTCTCTTGGCTGGAGACTGTGCAGCAGCCTCGCTGTGGACTCCTTCCAGGCCAGTGTGGTTCTGATAACAGGGCAGGGGACAGACGGGCTCTCTAACTTGGATGCCACCAGACTAAATGTGCTAAACGGACAAATCTGCAGGTGCTGAGTTGTGGACTCCTCCGCCTGGTGTAGCCCTGTGCAAGACCAGGTTTGTTCAAGGCCATGCAGCCCCTCGGCTGTCTTGTTGCCTCCTGGGCACCTCCTGCCAGCACTGCCTCCCCCCTACTCCCACCATCCTGCAGGACCCTGGGCAGGCTAAAGCCTGGGTGGTGGGACAGAGACCACCTCACTGAATCCCAACCTCTCACCACCTCTGGTCTCTCGGACCACCTCCTGCGAACCTCCTGGGGGCTACTGCCCTGCCAGCACCTTTACGGAGAGGAGCTCCTGCTCTGGCCCCTCACCCACAGCACACTTGGAGCAGGAGTGCACCTTGCTGTTCTGCAGTGTCACCTGCCCCTCTGGCGTGGCTGTGGGCCTTTTGTTCCACTTCTGCTCCTCTGCAGTGAAACAACTCCGATGCTCCAGAGCCACCTGAGGGCAGCGGGGTGTGCGGAACTCTTAGGCTCCCGCTCCGGGTCTTTCCTGCTTGGAGTGCACACTGGGTCGTGCCTCGCGCCCTGGCAAAATCTGTTTTTCTCAGCGGGGTGAGCATGGACAGAAGTCGATGTCCAAGTGTTCAACACACACTGGCCCCACTGCCTGTCTCCTTCTGTCACAGGTACAGGGGAGGTGGGGTGAGAGCTGGGATGTCCTGCTCAGAGGGGCCCCTAACAGCTCCCCTTCGATCCACAATAGTCGGGAGTTCAGGGTCACCCTTCTCCCATGTCCCGAAGGGCACAGACTGGAATTGAGGCCACCCAGTCTGGTCTTAAACTAAGGCCACCGCCAGCATTCAGCAGGTGGACGGGGTGGGGTTGGAGGGGTCTGGAAAGAAATGTCATCAGGGGTCCGCTCTGTCCACCACCAACAGAGACCCTTTCACGGATGAGTTCCCTCCTTGTGATGTCCGCTCTGCCCCCTCACCGGTTAGCAATCATTTCTCACGGGGCTCTGGACTCCAAATCATCTTCTCCACGTCCCTCCAAAGGACACCCTGCTCCGCCCCCTGACGTCATCTGAGAGCCTCACTGGCGCTGGCTGCTCCGGGGGGCGCGTGGGCGGCCTGCCTCTTCACCCTGAGCCCTGGCCCGCACCCCAGAGCAGGCACCTTGCCAGTGCCCAGAAATGTCTGGAATCCATGGCGAGGGCAAAACAGAAAAAGGAACACGCACCCTCAACTGTGCTGCTCTTAGTTTGAACTTTTAGGAGATGCCTTCTTCAGTCAGGGACAAGTCCTAACGCAAAGACGCACCGGCTTTCCAGAGCATGTTTTCTGAAGCCTTTGCGTGGATCCTATAGTGTCCCAGAGTAAAATGTTACATTTCGCTTGATTGGAAGAGAGATGTTACAAGAGTATTTTCTAAGGAAATAAGAGAACAAAGCCTCTCTTGAGCAATGTTTGGGGTGGGGTGGTTGGGGGCTCCCTGTCCCCAAAGTTTTCACCTGTGTGACTCTAAAGCCAAGCTGGCAAACTCCTTGCCAGACCCCTGGTGACCTCTCAGAGTGAGCAGGCCTACAAGGAATCCAGGACTTGCAAGGAAGGAAGTAAATCTGGAGACAAGTGTGTCTGCACACAGCGATAAGAGTGTTCTCCTTCTCCCTGAGTCGCAGGAGGAGGCTGCGGCACCAGGCTCCCTCTCCCAGCAGCTGCTTGGGGTGTGGCTATGCGTGCATCCTTGAGCACTTGGGAGCTGCTCCAGGGCTCACGGGGGCTGTGTCCTGCCTGCCTCCTGCCCTGCAGTGGGGACCTTTATGAGGAAAGCACAGCCCAGGCACCAGTGCAAAAGGCAGTCAGAAACAAGCCAGGAACCATGCCAAGCCCTCCAAGGTCAGGGCGGGCTGCAGAAGAGTTGGGATGGAATTCATGACTGAACAATGAGCAGGGGTCGAGGGAGGGGGAACCTCTGAGCCCAGCTGGACTCCAGCTACCCACTGTGCAACTCTGGCTCGCATCTGGCCTGCAAGGTCTGGGCACGGGAGCTCTGCACCCCGACTTCTGGCATAGAACAGGTGCAGCAAAGGAAGCTTGGATTCTGATCACTGAAAGCTGCTTGTGATCTTGGTAAGAACAGTCACATCTTAGGGTAGGAAATGTGGGAGGTGGGATCTAATTCCCAAGCTCACGGATTTTTTTCTTATATTGATTTTTTTTTTTTTTTTTTTTGTGGCCTCAAGATGCCTTCAGGGCATTTCTGGTTTGGCGAGAGTATCTGGGTTCAAACCATAGCACCTGAGCCTGACGGCTTTAAGCAGGCACTTAAACAACTGAGCCAATGGGCAGGCCCCCTTATATTGATTTTTGATTCCACTAACCAGGACCTGACTGTCTCCCACTTAAGGCAACTTGACAGGTGGGCTGGAGCAGAACTCTTCTCCCCTTAGCAACCCTTACAGACAGGAAGAGGATAGGAGGAGGTTTAAATTCCACCAGACACAAACCAGCCCCATGTTATCAGCCACTAAAGATGCTTTATTTGCATAAGACCCCAAATGTATGTTAATTAAAATATGTTCTTTTCCATGACTAAAGCCAGTTTCTTGAGGCTGCTGCCAAGCCCTGCCCCAGTGGCTTATGCTTAAAGCACAGCCCCAGGTGGCAGATTTTTCGGCTTGCTTTTCAAATACGACTCTCCCCTTCCTCATGAGCAATAAAATCTCAGTTTTTAGTTGAGTCTATTGCTGCTCAGCTGAAAGATGGCATTTCCCAGACTCCCTGGCAGTGGAGTATGGTCACATGACTAAGTTCTTGACCTCTGAGAAGTAGGAGGGTGTGAGCCTTCTGGAAAATCTTCTTGAAAGGGAAAGGCATATAGCCTTTTATTTTTTATTTTATTTTTTATGTCCTGCCTGGGTTCAGGAGGCGATGGCAAGAACTCACATAGTCATTTTGGACTGTGAGAAATGGGAAACAATGACTTCTAAAAAAAGCTGATCTCTAGGGAGATAGCTCAGCTGGGATGGCTGAATAATGAGCAGGAGTCAAGGGAAGGGGAACCTCTGAGCCCAGCCGGACTCCAGCCACCCAAGGGCAAGGATCCAGGCTCGATCCCTGGTACCACATGCTGTTTGGCCCCTGAGCCCCAGGGGTGCTGAGCCGGCCACCTAAACTGGGCATAGTGGTACACGCCTGTAATCCCAACACTGGGGAGGCTGAGACAGGAGGATCACTAGAAGTCTGAGCTGTGTAGTGAGAACCTGTACCAAATACATACATACATACATACATACATAATAAAATAGAAAAAAAGCTGATCTCTTCTTTCTTTTTTTTTATTTTAGGGAAGGGTCTACAGGGTGTTCAGGGTCTTACTACTAGATTGGACTCAGTAGTGATTCTCCTGTTTACAGCCTCCTGAGTACTGGGATTACAGGCGCGCACCACCACACCCAGTCTCAGTTGCTGTCTCAGCACACTCTGCGGGTGAGGCTGGCACAGCAGGCCTGGGGATCGAACCCCTGGCTCCTGCGCCTGCTTGCAGGCACTTTAATCCACTGAGCTATTTGGCTGGCCTTAAAAGCTAATCTCTGATGGTGGGGTGCCAGACCTAGTTGCAGGGCTGTCTGTGGGCCTCTTTCCTGGAAACATGAACAGTCTGGGTCTCTAGGATGCTGGCGTTTTTGTTGCATGCAGCTAGCTAAACTTAACCCTAACAGATGTATCAGCTTCCCTGAGGCCGGCCTTTAATTTCAAAGTATGAAGCCTAGAAGAGGAGCTTCTCTGAACAGCAGCATGAACCCCTGACCCTGGGATCAGCCAAGGGCAAACCCACAGAGGATAGCGGCTCATCCAGTGGACAGTGACACCCGGGTCCGCTCTGAGTTGTGCTGAGGAAACAGTAATGGGGCAGGCTTTATGGAAGAAGATCAAGAGCATGGCCTGGGACATGTTGAGGGACTCTGTTAGTGGTCCAGACAGTGAAGAACGGGTAAACAAGTCTGAAGCCTGAGGGTTTAGGCTGAGATGGAGATCTCTGAAAGGTTTTGGAGAAATGGCTGCTTATAAGACCATGTGACCACAAGACCATGTTGAGCCCCAGGATGGGGTGCAGGAGTAGTTTCTAAGGACTGAGCCCTGGGCCTCCAGAGTGCACTGGCTGGGAGCAGAGAGGCCCTGGGAAGGCACTGTGGGATGGGGTGGGGAGCAAAGAGCACATCTGTTCCATCCGAGCGAGGACAGTGTGTCCCCTCGGGAAGCACTCAGCTGGGTCACCTACTGCTGGCAGTAGGAGAACATGTGAGCCGGCCTGATCGCTAGATTTAGCAGTACGAAGGGAAGTCGGGGATGACTTTGATAAAGAGCTTCAGAGAAGTGGCCTCGAGGAAATCTGATTGGAGGAGGTTCAAGGAAGAACAGGCAGAGTTGGAGCTAAAAGGCAGCTGGGGCGCTGCTTTTCAGAGGCTGTGAGTGTGGCAGCAGAGGTGAGGGCGGTCTAGCAGCGGCTGGGGAGTCCTGGGCGCGCTCAGCAGCAGGCCGGGGGCAGGGCTAGTGAAGAGAGGCAGGGAATGCCTCGGAATTCCGGGCCAGGGCACTTCTCCTCCTTGTGCCTCAGTTTTTTCCCTAGTGAGAGGGAATTTTAAGTGACATCACCTATTAATCACCTTTAGCTATTTGATTAGTACATATAAGTACTCAGATTTGGGTGGTTTAACTTTTAAAATTCTTTTAGTGTTTTCATAGATCCAATTAGGGCACCCTTGGGTGAAGCAGAGAAAGTATCTTAAGAAAAAACAAAAAAACACCCACTGCGTACTGAGGCGATTAAAGGAAAGGCAGAAGAAAAAGCACCGTTAACTTTAATCAAGGAGCTGGAAAACGATCAAGGATGTGAGCGGGAGCCAGGAGAACGGCATAAGGAAATGAGCCCTCAAGAGAATGGAAACCGTCCGGGGAGCGGAACCAGGATGGGCCCCGCGCCTTGCCTGCACCCGACTTGCCCCGTACCTGCGGCCGCCGGTCTCCTCCGGCTCCGCCTGCGCCGCAGGTCCCAGCGCCCGCGGGACGCGGGGTCGCGGCGGGCTCACGCCGAGCCCGGGCTCTCGGTCGGCGGGACACTGACCGCAGCCCGCAGCCCGCAGCGCGGCTGGCGTCGTTGGCACGCTGTTACCTAGCAACTGCTATGCCGCGCGGGCGGCTGCACCCGCGGAGCGCACCGGGACGTGTAGTCTGGGAGCAAGTCGGGCCTGCGGGGGCGCGCGGGGCGGGGCGGGGCGCGGCGCTGCATCACTCGAGGATTGGCTGGCTCGCCGGTCGGCCCACCCCCGGTTCACGGCGGGCTGCCCTGCGCGCGGGCCCTCGGCGCATGTGCGGCGCGGGGCGGCGGTGACC